CAGAAGGCAGAGTAGCTGTTTGTGACAGCTTCACTTATGAACTGAAGGTCATAGTCCAAACCCTAGCCCAGGACCCTGAGAATGGGAAGCAAACTGTTTAATAAATTCGCCACAAAGATCATTGTGGTTATTAAAGAACTTCATTGTGCATGAAGCCAAAAGGAACATTGCTTTTCCGTCAGCACAATCAAGCTAACTTACCCTTCTGGAGGCAGCCGCGTAGTCTAGCGACTAGAGACTCCCCTGCGGATCAGAAGACTGTAGTTCTGGTACTGACAATGGCTCCCAGGTAGAACCCCAGCCTCAATTGGTGCCAGGTATAGTCCTGGGAAGTAAAGGCTGCCGGCGTGATGTTGTTCTGATCACCTATAAAATATAAGTCTAGCACTATATGCCCAATACGCCTGGAGACGTGTAAAAGAGTGTTTTTTTTTTTTTCATGTACAATAAAGCGGACCTACCTTTCTGGAGCGGACTTAGTGCAGCCTGGTCTGACGTAGCGACAAGCCATGAAGCCCAGGAGACCTATAAAACACGTCCCCAAAAGCCCAGACACCATCAACCAGGGTAGGTTTTCTGACATAAAGTTGAACTCTACTATGTCTCCCTGCAAAATAACAGCATTATTTAGTTATTATTTTATTGAGAAAAACGGTAGTACAGTGGGTAAACCCTTGCCTGGCTGTTTAAAGATCTTGGGTTAGAATCCACACCGTAGCCGAATTTAGTTTGCTTCGCAGTACAGATCTGATAAGGAGAACTCACCAGCAAACTAAGAAATTGTTCTTTCTATAAGACATTACTCTTATGCAGGAGTTCAAGAAACAAAAATTGCAGGGGATAAACAAAAATTGAACTTTATAACAGAAAATCGCTATATCAGAGATCGTCTTACGATGTCGGCACTGTAATTGACCACTGCAAAGGTACATTTGATCTTTATAGGTAATTTATCTCATTTGTTAGGAATGACGACAACTAGTAATCATAAAGTATGTAGGATTCACCAAATGGATGGTATAGATCTATTAATATAATGCGCGTGTAAACAGATAGAGCCAAGCGGGAAGTTTGTGCAATTTGGTTGAAGCAAGTCACTCAAAGAAAACATGAAAGCATGAGAGAAGTTTTAAAGTTCACGAGAAAAAGAAAGAGGTTATGTAAGCCGTAAGCTAATGAGAGAAGTCAGTCTCGTTTTTGATTCCGGAAAATCGAGTCTTGTGCCGGTTGGTTTGACTGAAGTAAACGTGCCTGAGATCGTGAAAGTGATCAAAGCTGCGTGTTTGAGTCGGTTGAAAACCTGACTAATTATTTCATACCTGCTGGAAATAGAAGATGCAGCGTCTGCTGCGATGTGAAGTGTGTAAATGCTATACCTGTTTTGAAGTGCTTGCTTGAGATGTGCTGAACGTTAGAGGTTTCATATTTGATGACTGCAAGCAGATGTTGATAAGATTGCCCTAGACAGTATTCCTCTGGCGCATTGACCAAGAGAAACATCCCGGTAACAATAAACATACATTTCTAACGGCCTTCAGCAATGAATCCTAAGGGCTCAGAATGCTGAAGAAGAAGAAGATGATGATGAAGAAGAAGAAGAAGAAGAAGAAGAAGAAGAAGAAGAAGAAGAAGAAGAAGAAGAAGAAGAAGAAGAAGAAGAAGAAGAAGAAGAAGAAGAAGAAGAAGAAGAAGAAGAAGAAGAAGAAGAAGAAGAAGAAGAAGAAGAAGAAGAAAAAGAAGAAGAAGAAGAAAAAGAAGAAGAAGAAGAAGAAGAACAAGAACAAGAGCAAGAAGAAAAGAAAATGTGTCACAAACTGCAACTTACTGTAGTTGTACTAACTGTCGTTGGTGTTGTCGTAGTAGTATCGGTTGTCTTTGTGGAAGCTGTGGTAGTTGTAGTTGCCTTTGTTGTTGTAGTCGAACATGCCTGGTAATGCAAACAAGGAGAATTGTTTACAGTAAGTTGTTACCTGGGGTATGAGGAAAGGTAATGCTACAGCAGATATAGCCCTGCGAGTGACATTTGTATGTACTTTAGAAAACTAGATCACATTCTTTAATTATTTCAGTAACACTTAGAACCTGTTCTGTTGTATGGCAGCGAATCTTGGAATGTCAGTGAACAAATTAAGAAAAATTTGGAAGCAAAAGAGATGTAGTTTCTGAGACGAATGTTACGAATACCTTGGACGGCCAGAGTAACTAACAACGATTGCTAGAAAGAAGCTAATAGAAGTAGATCTCTATATACAATAATGTGAAAGAGACAAACACTTTTCTTTTGCCACATAATGAGAAGAGAGACACTGGAGAACAAAGAGACAACTGGAAAAATCAGTGGGGAAAAGGGGTAGAGGCAGACCAAGAGAAATGATGCTTGATGGGTTGAAACGATGGCATGGGGGGATATCATCAAGAGAGCTATTCCAGGCAACCAGCGATCGTGATCTGTGGAGACGCATAAGCGCCTACGCTAGTTGGCAGGGCACATGATGACGAACACGATTTAGCACCAGACACTTAGAGAAGAACATTATTAGGAAAAAAAAGGAAGGCGATTTTTTCACACAGGGGGAGCCACAATACAATCAATCAATCAGTCAATTAGTATGCGCTTTACAGAACGTTGCTCTCTTAACAATGCGCATGAAAGTCTTTCTTTCTCTAGCTAATTCTCTAGCAGTGTTTGCTTTATAGCGAAAGCTTCTTCAATATTCTGTATCCGTCTTCGCGAAGGTCGACCTCAGCTTCGTTTTCTGGAACCTGCACTTCCTGCTCAAAAGCCATGCTGGTGACGTCACCAGGTCGGGTAAACAATGCGTTAACGCAGCGGTTCTCAAACAATAAATAAACTATTTTCAACAGTGGCGAGGGAAGACAACTTAAATTTTAACTTTGAAGTATCTACATGTCTTCTTTAAAAATGTTACAAGTTTTAGCCGACTTTTTTTTTTTGGGGGGGGGGGGGATTATTACCGTGGCACCCCTGGCATTCGCTCAAGGCACCCCAGGGTGTGTCGGCACCCAGTTTGAGAACCACTGCGTTAACGCATCGTTAGCCCCACAAGGTGACGTCAGCAGCACGGCCCACCAACTGAAGCTGGTCGTGGCTTATTATTGCAGATAGGCTTAAAGTTCTGCAAGCAAAGTCATATCTCAGAGTAGCTGCAGACGAGAAGCACATATTGCATGAATCCCTGGGTAGATCTAAGGGTCACAGACCGAAAGAGAAAGGTCTTGGATGGCGCAAGCTGAAAACACAATGAGACATGTGTGCAGGCTTAAAATATTTAAACGTGGTGAGGAGTGGGTCAAAGTGTGCGAGCAAGTTGTCAGACTTGTGCAGGGTTCTTATCACTTTGGGTTGTGAGTGCAGGGAATGGCCAGCTGGTGGTGCAGAATCAGAAGTCCAACAAATGATTCATGAAGATTCCTGCCCAAGTGATGGGATTATCTATACATATGACTCTGTGTTAAGGGGCAGACGAAGTGCATGGGGGTTTATAGTAAAGACAAATGGACGTCGCTTAGTGCAACAAACCCTGGCATATGATAAAACAAAGTAGTTTGAGAAAGGAGGTGGAGGCAGTCACTGCTGCCTTCCGCTGGCTTGATAATCAGCTGTATACACATGCCGTTATTGTCACTGACTCACAGAGCATGTTGAGGTAGTTGTAAACATGTATGCTCCGTGCAGAGTGGCAAGCATAAATTGAGAGGTCCCTGGTAGTTAGTCTCCTTTAGCTATTCTCTCCAGGTCATGCCGGTGTGTTGGGAAATAAGCAAGCAGATAGACTGGCCGGTTTTGCACCACAAGCTAGATGTTGTGAGGACCCTCTGGGAGCGAGTGAACAGTGCAGAAGCGCAAACAGATCATTACGGTCTGAGGAGAATGGCTCTGCCAGGATTTACCAGGGAATCTGGCCGACGTTCAACATTCAAGGGAAGGTCGAGACGGATATACAATCAGACAGTTACTGGTGCCATCGGAATTGGAACTCTTCGTTTACTGCTGAAGATGGGGACAGAGCGTTTATGGGGTTGTCCTGAGTGCTATGATGCTGATTCTTAATTCAACATTCAACAACATTCAATATTCGTTTTCAAGAGACTGTTTACTTCAACACCGTTCTCCCCAGACCACCATGACACTTGACCTGACCTAATTCCTCAGCTTTCTGAGAGGATGCTGTTTATGAGCCAGTTCTTCTTGATGTTCAGGTCAACCAGAATACCAACGATTTTTTCTTCTTCTTTTTTGTCCACGCTATTCTAAGAATGTGTCTGTAGCATTCCAATTCTAAAGCTTGGTCTGGAAGCATGACCGTCATGTCAACATGAGAGTGCTTAAACGCACGCTTGGGGTAAAGTGCACCGATACAAATTTGTATCACCATATCACGCCCTCATAGCATCAGCCACACTGTTAAAGAACAATTAACACTCAACGAGTGGTCAAAATCTTGACTGCCAGTGGCGAGACGTGATCCATTGCATCTGGAAGCTTTAGCAGGTAGCGATTACAGTGAAGAGGGTTTCAAGTGATATTTTTCTCATCATCGCTTCGCTGTTGAGAATATGCAGGCGCAGCTAGCACAATGGTACTAGTAACTGATAGCTTTCATGTGATTCAGTTTCTGTATGAGTGGCGTAAGCATGTAGCGAGCGTTCTTTTCTTTATGTTTGAGGCGTAAACAGAGTGGAGAATTTGTAATAAATAGTAAACAATAATAAAAAATACTAAAATAGTTGTTCGTTGGCAGTAGAAAATGTAAATAGCACTTACATCCGTTACATGCACAGATAGCCACTACATTGTTGTCGTCTTTTCTTTACCGATACAAATGTAATGCTGGGTCCACCAGGCGACCCCTAAGTCAATTATTTAAATCTAAACCCATGGGGATTCGAACGTAAGACGTTCGGGGCTTCAGGTCTAGCCACAGCGCCACCATCGCTCTAAAAAGTTAATAAACTGTGTAAAGTAAACCAAACTTAACTTTTCCAAGGACGATAACAAATCCTGGTTTCGACTGCAAAGGTTTGGGATACTGTCCCTTGAGAAATGAGAAAAAGAAAACATAGTCAGCTGATTTGATTTTGAAAAGTAAATAAATAAGTAGTAATTTTTTTCTACAAAAGCTCATTGGACATAGACGCTAGAATCATGTTGTAAAATAATCGACACTCGATCTTTATTGTAGTCAACATCAAACCAGCCTGCCGTGACCTCCCACTATTTTACCAAGTGCCGATTTTAGGGTGGGTCGACCTGGGGGCCTAGATAATCTTTGAAGGAAAGAATCCGATTCTGTACGAATTCGAATTAATGACCTTCGGATTATATTTATAGATGAAGATAAAATTAGTACTAATTCAGAAAGATGTTGTTTCCTGGGTTAACTAACAATGATTTCCTAGAAATGGTTAATGAAAGTAGAAAATTGTATGCAACAATGAGAAGGAGACAAACGCAGTTCTTTTGTTTTGTGATGAGAAAAGAGCATGATGACTGGAAAGATCACTGGTAGAAGAAGCAGAGACAGACCAAGAGAAATTATGGTGGATGGCTTGACCAAGAAAAATTATGGTGAATGGCTTGACCAAGAAAAATTGTGGTGGATGGCTTGACCATGAAAAATTATGGTGGATGGCTTGACCAAGAAAAATTATGGTGGATGGCTTGACCAAGAGACTGGAGTAGACATGGGAAAAAAAAAGGGGGGGGGGGTATTCGTAGGGATGAAAGTAATTCTTTACTAACTGAACCCAGCAAAGCAGGAATCCAATTCTAGAATGTCTCGTACTCATATCTTTACTGGCATAGGACTGCAAGGCACATTAGGGATTTACTCCGTGTCAAGCAGAATCAGCGGTGAAGTGGTCAGGTCGTTTGCCTTCTTCTCTGAAATAGTGGGTTCGTTTTTTAGGTGTCTTTGAGTTCAGGAGTATAGTTTTTACACAGGGCCCCTGAGATCGTCATTAGAGCTGCGAATTTCATGCTTTGCGCGATGCTTTCAGCAGACGAACGGTTTTTCTGCGGCGAGAAGCAGAGCCATATAAGATAACCCAGTACAAGGAGGTCAATCCTCTAAACTGTAACTTTTACTGCTACGGGTGTACTAAAAAGCAACTTATTTGTTTGGAGAAGTATCTGAGACTTGTCATATTGTTTCGACATCCAGAAAGCAGCAGGAGTGGTCAAACCTTCTGGCAACAACCCATGGAAGGAGAAGATAGCAACCAGTCACTTCAAATGGATAATCTACCATTCTTCGGCGTGTAGCTGGACCTTTGTTGAACATCGCTCTCATCAGGATCTGTCTATAAGAACATCGGTCGCTCGTCAGCTTCAGAGCCTCATGCACCGTCCTACCCCAAGGTGTCACCTTTATACTGTGCCAATCTTCGTGTTAGGGATAGGTAGGGCGGCGGCCCGGGGGTAGGGCGGCGGCTTGTGGGTGGGTGGGGGGGGGGGGGGTTAAAGAGCGCGAGAAACTAAAACTGAAAATTAAGAACTTAAAAAAAAGTATTGCAATTCAGAAATTATCTAACCTTTATTTTGTTACAAGCAAGAGAGAGAGAGAGAGAGAGAGAGAGAGAGAGAGAGAGGGAGGGAGGGAGAGAGAGAGAAATAGAGAGAGATTGAGGCAGAGAGCGATGGAGACAGAGATGGAGATAGAGAGGAGAGAAAGACGGAGAGAGAGAGACGAGAAGGGAGACGGAGAGAGAAAAGGAGAGAGAGACAAAGAGAGTGAGAGAAAGAGAGAGAGAGAGATGAAGGCAGAGAGCGATGGAGACAGAGATGGAGATAGAGAGGAGAGAAAGACGGAGAGAGAGACGAGAGGGGAGACGAAGAGAGAAAAGGAGAGAGAAACGAAAAGATAGAAAGACGGAGCGAGAGACTGAGAGGGAGACAGACAGAGAGAGAGAGAGACGGAGAGAGAGAGAGACATAGAGAAAATCTGAGACATACAAAAAAGAGATGACGCAAATAAGCATTGACGCAAATCCTAAAGAACTCAAATGGATAGAGTTCCCACAAAGCCCTCACAACCACATAACTCTTATAGGTGTGATTCAAGAAAGTTACGTCGACTAAACCCAATGTTATTTTGCAGTTTTTAGATCCAGGACTGTACGTGCCATGATACAGAGAAACGGCCGTATCAGGCGGCACTGTAAAAGGATTGGGGCGGCATAAGCAGCGAAATCCAAATACAATTTGAACTTTTGTTCTGACAACATGAAACTGTTAATGGCGGCATTTCAAAGGCTTGCATTAAACTCACAAAATCTTCGCACGGTTTTGAATCTGTCAACATTCTTTGTAACTGCTGTCACAAGCCAAGGATCATTCTCCATGCCTACAGCCTCATTGGACATAGGGCTCGACCTCAATTGTATAGAGATAGACCAATCCGCGTGTGATGGGTCAGCATCACGTCGACCGCCTTTACTTCCCAGGACTGTACTTGCACAAAGGTCTTTTTTTTTTTTACTCCGACTCCGTCAGCTCCCGAACCCACGAAATTGCTGGGTAGACACAGAACTGTTGGTGCAACATTAGAACGAAAAAGAATGCAATTGTCAATTGGATATTTTCTCCAGGTAATGCCGGTGTGTTTGGAAATTAGCAGGCAGATAGACTAGCAGTTAATGTTGAAATGATGTAAGAAAAGCTAGATATCATGATGCCCTAAAGGAGCGAGTGAACAGTGCGGAGGCACAAATAGATCATTACAGTCTGAGGAAAACGGCGCTGCGAATAGTTATCAGAGGATCTATCCATTTGCAGATGGTCTAGGAATAAAGTGAGACCGGGGAGAGGTAGGTGCTCAGACCCCCATATTTTTGGGGCAGGGAGAGGGGGAGGGGAGGAGGCTCAATGGGCCTAATAACCCAGGTTCCAGAATCACTAACAAAAAAATGTTGACCAAATTAAACCACAGACTTACCTGGTCGAAGGCATACACTGTGGCACTGCTGTAATCCCCACTTCTCATTGGTGTGGTCAGGATGACATCCCCGTTATACAGCACGGTAAAATACGTGGAGTTCTGAATACCAAAGTAAGTTACACTGTTGCCCTGGAAAGTGGAGTCATCGTCTTTGGCCTTGAGTGTACACAGAACGGTCCCTGAATGAAAAGGCAATGGAGAGATTGTCATAAATAAGGCATTTATAGTGAACAGTTGTAGGGATAGGAACTTAATGCAGAGGATCACCACCCTGATACTGTGAAGAGAGAGTCAGGACAGTTGAAAAAAGTAATTAAAAAAAATAAAGATCCCTTTTCCCGCCTTTAGTTGCATCGTGTATATGGGAAAAGCGCCCATATTTTTTACAGACCAATCGGCGCTGGGTGGGTAATGTGGTCAGCATTACGCCGGCCGTCTTTACTTCCCAAAGACATACATCCTGGTACCCATTTTAGGTTGGGTCAACCTGCGACGCCCCATACCATGATAAAAGTCCACGCAGCCAGCAGTGGGTTGAAATCGTGGTACGTTGGAATTACGAGTCTGACTCGCAACGCGTGAGCCACGGACGCCGCTAGGACAGTTGAATAATTGGTTGGATAAATAGATACACAGATTCGTTAATAGATGTACTGAAAAATACCTTCAGGAGACTAGGGACAGCTAGATAGACAAGGCAGGTAGGAAGGTAGGTTGGTAGGTAGGTAGATAGAGATAGATAAACAGGCAGACAGACGGACGTATTGACAGATGCACACACACTTATAGTTACACGGAGTATAGTTGGTTGGATGGATCATGGCATAAATATAAATGAAAACATAAATAAGTGGATGGTTAGACAGGAGTTACCAACAAACTTTATTTTTATAATGTCAAACACTGTGCATGAAGGTTTGTCATACTTCTCCACCTACTCATCGTTGAGGCAGACAGACATACAGACAGACAGGCAGACGGACAGACAGCCAGACGTACGGATGGTCGGACTGCTAGGTACTGGAAGGTCAGAAGGATGTAGGAATGTGTGGACTGATAGGTAGGTAGGTAGGTAGGTAGGTAGGTAGGTAGGTAGGTAGTAGGTAGGTAGGTAGGTAGGTAGGTAGGTAGGTAGGTGGGTAGGTAGGTAGGTAGGTAGGTAGGTAGGTGGTAGGTAGGTAGGTAGGTAGGTAGGTAGGTAGGTAGGTAGGTAGGTAGGTAGGTAGGTAGGTAGGTAGGTAGGTAGGTAGGTAGGTAGGTAGGTAGGTAGGTAGGTAGGTAGGGAGGGAGGTAGGTAGATATAAATTAGATAAGCAGACAGACAAGCAGACCGCCTACACTCAACACTCACCCACTGGCCAACACTCTTCAGCTGGGCAAGGATTGGAAGCAGAAGTGATCACTGGGGCATTGTCGTTTGCATCGAGAATGGTGACAGTCAGCGTGGCAATCCCCGTCTTACCTCCCCTATCAGTTATTTGAATTGGCAAGGACACTATTTCGTTGCTTCGTCCTCTTGCGTCCAGATCGTAATCTCCAATTGAAGTTATTGCACCTAACAGAAAAGTTTGTTGTTTACTCCTATGGACTTCAAAAACAATCCCAAGAAATATTGGCTCTTGTATGGCGCTTTATTATGCAGTGTTACGTACAGTACATTGCCCTGTCAGTTGACAGTTAGGGCTCTCATTAAAGTACTTACTAATTTAGTCGCTCCTTTTCTAACTTGGGGCGTAGAAGTTTGCCAGAGAGACTGCCAGACTTCTCTATCAGCAGTTTTTTTTTCTGGGTTGTCCCATTCCAGTCCTGTATCAGTCAGGGACTGTCGGATGTTGCTTTCCCAGCGGATCCTGAGGTGGCCCTGGAGGTCTTGATTCTTAGCCTCCCATACCTGCCATGGTTGCAAGTTTTCTCCAATTCTACATACATTTCCAAACTATCGTAAATTTGACAGATCCGCTCGTGTTTGTAAGGCCTAGATTTCAAGATCTTGACGAATTGTCTAAGTGCAAACTTTGTCTCTTCTTGTCACTTGGGCCATCTTTTTCAGATATCTCACTTTTGAGGCCTGAAGCTGGCTCCTGTGAGCTGTTGTCATTGCCCATAACTCACACCTGTAGGTCAGGACTGGCACATAGGTAGAGCGGCAGACAGCCATTTTCGCCTTCTGGCCGATTTCTTTTCTGTTAGTAAACCCTCGATTTATGGCTTGAAAAGTCTCCCAGCGGCTGGTTCTATTCAGTAATTAAATTACAATAAAGAACCCTCTGGCGCATTGTGTATATAGAAAGTCAAAAGTAAGTAAAGGACCTTTTCCACGCCTTTAGGCGTATGGGGCATATAGGGCTAGACCTATATTTTTATAGACCAATCGGCACAAGGTGGGTGATGTGGTCAGCATCACGCCGGCCACCTCCACTTCCCGGGACTGCACCCGGTTACCACTCAAGACTGGGTCGACCTAAAGCCAAAGTCATTTTTGAAAAAAATCCGGCTCCGCCTGGGTGCGAGCCCATGATCTTCCGATCCGCGGCGAGCGTCTAGCCGCTCCGTCACGGTGACTCCTTTTGTTAGTAAAAAATTGGTTTATGGCCTTGAAAATCTCACAGCAGCTGCTACCATTCAAGTAACTTTAAAAAAGAACCCTCTGGCGCATTTGGCATATAGTGCTAGATCAATATTTATATAGGCCAATCGTCACTCAGCGAGTAATGTGATCAACATCCCACCAGCCGCCTTTACTTCTTATGACGTTACCTGATGCCCATTTATGGCTTGGGTTTACTTGGGAGTCATGGTCACTTAAAAAGCTTGCTTTAATAGGGGTTTTGAACCCCAGCTCTTTGAGCGGCAGGCATATGTCAAGCACTATAGCTAGCCCTACAAGTAAGCAAAGGGCGTTGCTAACGCGTTTTGTAATTCCTGGATTCCAGTTTAGATTTTTAATGCAAGCGATTTGGCAACAAACCGCCTTGCGTTTGTTTTAGCAGTGGTATCGAGAGCCTTTCAGAAATAAATGGCAAACTACTGAACGTAAAATTGCCGACGGAACCCCAAAACAGCCAACATTTTCTGGGGTTGGTTGAGCTCGGTCCTGTAAAGGACATGTAACTAACTATATGAGGTTCTATACACATATGTGATTGATTTTCGTTTTCCCCGTGTGACTTCCAGGGTTCTATTACAAGGAAAACAAAAATAAACCCACTGCCTACTCACAAGCATGTCGTAAGAGTCGACGAATTGGGAGCTTCCTTCGAAATCGGAGTGCCTCTGCCTGAGAGGCAAGGAACCAACAGTCTACACACGACTGAGTCAGATCTGTCAAACGAACGCACTCAGGTTCTGAAACAGGACTTCAGTCCAGAAGTGGAGGAACAACAAGAACTTTCCGTCAGAGTTTACAGCCGGTAAACGCATAGAAAAAAAAAGAAGAAGATTTTCGTTTTTGCTTCAAATATCGCCAGGCATCGCAATTTAACAGAAGATATAAATAAATGATCGGTAGCTCAGTTTTGCAGCCCGCTTGGTTGCTTGGTGTATTGTAATGTTGTGAAGTCTTAGGATGTCAGTGACTCCTTCAGTACATCGTCTTCTAGGTATGCCTCTGCCTCTTGGTGTTTCCATTCTCATGCTGTAAGCTCTCGTTGGAATATTTTTCACAAGCATTTTATCGACTTCTTATCTCTACTGCTGGAATACCTCACGGCCTCAGGAAAGGATGAGCTCTATGAATGTGGGATCCTTCTGTTCGCGTCTTATATAGTACTTTTCAGTGTCTTTGATATTTCTGCTGTCAATCTTCTGCGTATCTGAATAACACTTCTCTCTGTGGTGTCCTGTCTGCTGCCAATCTTGTTACATGACCAAACCATTTGATTCGTTGTCTGTCTATAAAGTTCAGTTTTGGTTCTGTGCCGACTCTTCTGGTGAAAGCATCGCACACACACCTCTTGCTCTCATATCAGAACATTGTATGTTTAACGCTTGTGTTAGTAGTTATGACTGAATTCTAAGAAGATGACCAAACCATCTGATAGTCTGTTTCTGACTAAACTTTCTGATTTGTGATATTCCAAATGTCTCTCTGATTCCATTTCTCATGTTTACGTCACACGTTTAAGTTCGCCGCTTTCCTCGAGCATCTCATTTCACATGTGTTAAGTTTTCATAGGTTAGTCTTTAATAGTGTCCAGCTTTGGCACTTATAGCATTGCTGGTTTGATAATGATGTTAATAACCTGTTTCTTGGTGGTCATGTCTGGATGTCTTAATAACGGTATATTTGGTATATAACTGCACTGGTTAATTAGCATATGACTCAAAGAGTACATAGCGCTTTTGTAAGACTGACTTTACAACCTCTAAGCTTTATAATACTACTTGACTTACGGTAAACTGCGGTACATAAGTCACGTTTTCAAGCGTAAAAACATCGTCCCAAATCTAAGGGTCCATATAAATGAGAGATATAAACTGCATTGGATAGGTGAAGGCTAAACTCAGAAATTTAAGCTACAAATCTAGAGATCGACTTGCACACCAAGTCGACTTGTACGTCAGGTCGACTTGTACATCAGGTAGAGTTGTACACCAGGTCAACTTGTACAACACGTTAACTTTTACACCAGGTCGACTTGAACATCAGGTTACCTTGTATACCAGGTCGACTTGTACATCAGGTCGACTTGTACACCAGGTCGACTTGTACACCAGGTCGACTTGTACACCAGGTCGACTTGTGCACCAGTTCGACTTGTAAGTAAGTAAAAGTAAAGGACCTTTTCCACACCTTTTGGCGTATACAGCAAATAGGGCTAGACATATTTTTATAGACCAACGGCACAAGATGGGTGATGTGGTCAGCATCACGCCGGCCGCCTCTACTTCCCGGGACTGCACCCGGTACCCACTCAAGGCTGGGTCGACCTGGAAGCCAAGATCATTTTTTATGAAAAGTCCAGCTCCGCCAGGGAGCGAACCCACGACCTTCCGATCCGCGGCGCGCGTCTAGCCGCTCTGCCACGGCGACTCCCCAGTTCGACTTGTACACCAGGTTAACTTTTTCATCAGGTCGACTTGTACACCAGGTCGACTTTTACACCGCAATTTTCGGTTTTTGCAAATAATAAAAACCAAACTTGCCAGTAATACTGTCTATAAAGAAGTCAGAGCGAGCGGTTGTGAAGTTGAAGAAAGCCACATCATTGGCGTCAGGGTCCTGGACTTTCCATGGCGGATAGACATCGATCTTGAAACACACAAAATATCGAACAGTTATCGAAGAGAAGAAATTTTACCTGCACAAGCACATGACAGTACATATATAGCTTTGTTAAATCTAGCTATCATCATCATCATCATCATGTAGCAGGTCCTTTGCAGAACGTCGCTCTCATCACGGTCTGTCTGAAAGAAACTCGATCTCTTGCCAGCTCTCCCGCATCGTTTACTTTCATATTCATGGAGTCATTTATATCTTGTGCCCATCTTCGTGTTGGTCGGCCCCTGCCCATCCTTCCTGGTACCATGCCTTCTGCTACAGTTTTTTCCAATCCGACGTGCCGCTTGATATGACCAAAATATTTCAGCTTTCGAGACAGGATGCTGTTTATTAGTCAATGTTCCTTGATGTTTTTGATATTTCAAGATGTCAGTATTTCTCCTCTTTTTTGTCAAAGATATTCTGAGAATCTATCTTTAGCAGTTCAGCTTAAAAGTCCCTAATCTTTTCTAGCAATACGAATCTTATTACTTAGGCTAATAGAGGAAGACTTTTGTTTCTTTTCATTCATCGAAATATCTACCTTGATGTGTACATAGCAGCTACTCTCTACAATGCATATTGGTGAACCTGTCTGTCTATCTGTCTGTCTGTTGAATTATTTGTGTGTCTGCCTGTCTGCGTTTCTATGTATCCCAAGATATGTATATCTGCCTACCTGCCCGCCTGTTTATCTTTAACTAACTAACTAACTAACTAACTAACTAACTAACTAACTAACTAACTAACTAACTAACTAACTAACTAACTAACTAACTAACTAACTAACTAACTAACTAACTAACTAACTAACTAACTAACTAACTAACTAACTAACTAACTAACTAAATAACTAACTAACTAACTAACTAACTAACGAACGAACGAACGAACTAATTAACTAACCAACCAACTAACTATATAACTAATTAATTAACTAACTAATTAACTAACTAATTAACTAACTAATTAACTAACTAACTAACTAACTAACTAACTAACTAACTAACTAACTATCTAACTAACTAACTAACTAACTAACTAACTAACTAACTAACTAACTAACTAACTAACTAACTAACTAACTAACTAACTAACTAACTAACTAACTAACTAACTAACTAACTAACTAACTAACTAACTAACTAACTAACTAACTAACTAACTAACTAACTAACTAATTAACTAACTAACTAACTAACTAACTAACTAACTAACTAACTAACTAACTAACTAACTAACTAACTAACCAACTTATTAACTAATTAACTAACTAATTAACTCACTAAACAAACAAACTGAAAAAAAACTAACTTACCAACTAATTAACTAACTTTCTGTCTGTCAGCTTTCAAGTCAGTAAAGGCAACCGATCTGTCGATCTGTCTCTACCTATGAACAAATGTGCGTGAGTGTTGTCCTACTCCAATTATAAAATCCCAAATAGCAGTCCGTTGATGTGTCTAAAGATCAAATACTTTTTAACTGCTCCAGTTTTTGTCACCAATTATCAGAAGTATTTTTAGTATCAATTAGTTTATTGATTGCCGAAGAAATTAAGACACATAAATTCAGCCACTCACACACACACACACACACACACACACACACACACATACACACGCACACTCGCATACACAGTCACACACCCATCCAGGCACGGACACACAAAGCGCAAGCTCACAAACATACACACGCTTTACACATTTACGCACGTGCACACACACACACGCACGCCATCCCCACTGACACGCTTGTACACACATACATACACATACACGTACCAGTCCTTCATACACAGTTGTCTTCCAAGAATTCGGCAGCAACGCGGGCGCCTCGTTTACGTCAGCGACTTCTACATACAACGTCTTCACGCCGCTGGAACATCCGCCATCATCCAACGCCCTGACCGTTAAAGTCATTCTACTGTAGCCGCCCACAGGGTTCTCGTAGTCCAGGGGAGATAGCAGTTTTATATCATGGTCTGGGGAGTTTCACAATTAGGTAAATGATATACAAGAGGTGAGAAAGAGTTCTTTAAAGCTACATTGAGCCAGTTCTTTTACCTGCCAGAGCCCTGTGGATTCCGAATATAAGGATGGGTGGTAGGAGGGGGGGGGGGAGGGGCGGTTGGGTGAAGAAGAAGAAGAAGAAGAAGAAGAAGAAGAAGAAGAAGAAGAAGAAGAAGAAGAAGAAGAAGAAGAAGAAGAAGAAGAAGAAGAAGAAGAAGAAGAAGAAGAAGAAGAAGAAGAAGAAGAAGAAGAAGAGGAGAAGGAGGAAGAAGAAGAAGAGGAGGAGGAGGAGGAAGAAGAAAAAGAGGAGTAGGAGGAAGAAGAAGAAGAGGAGTAGGAGGAAGAAGAAAAAGAGGAACGAACGAACGAACTTTATTTTCAAAGGGTCACACATTGGGCACGCAGGCCCGTCTTACATTCGGCCCTTCCAGTCAACCATCTTTCGCACAGCAGTTGTATTTTACTAATAAAGCATGTTATGATCATATGATGTTATGCATATTATGAATATTATAAAAGAACACAAAAGCATGAGTTGTAAAGTGCATGCAAAAACCCGCGCGTGCATACATACACCCACATACACGCGCTCACCCACTCACTTTCACACACAAACATGCATGCATACATTACATACATACATACACAGATACATACAAACAAACATGCATACACACATACACACAGGCATACGTACACACAAACATACATACATAGATACAAACATACATTCATACTTAATACAGGCATACACGCATACAGTCATAAATACAGTCATGCATGGAGACACACACACACACACTCAGACAAAAATACAGACACACACACAGACACTTACATATAAACACACACAGGGAAACACACAGCACACATATTTACATTCGTGCTCACACACTGACACACACACCACACATACGCAGACAAACATGCAGACACATACATACAGCCACATAGACACACACGCAGTCAAACACACACACACACACACACACAAATACAGACAAACAGGCAGACAAACACATACTGACACCCACAGAGACAAACACGCAGAAATGCATAATCATTCAAACACATAGAAATACATACGCAGACACATATTCAGCACGCACAGACATATACTCTGACATGCAGACACATACAGACAACAAAGGGGCACACACAACACACACAGAGAAAGACGCATAGACATGCACAGACAGACAGACACATGCTGACACATACACTCACGCAGACAGACATACAGACATCCACACACAGAGATACAACATACAGCCTCATAGACACACCCGCAGACAAAACACATAAACATACACAGGCAAACATGAAGACAAACACATACGGGGACACACACAGATACAAACGAAGATAACACACAGTCACATCAAATATGCAGAAAAACACAGACACACACACACACATGCAGACAAACACAGAGACACACACACAGACGCATATTCACAGCTACATGTATCCAATCGCACACACACACATGCAGACACACATACACGGCAAAGAGGCACACTTAAACACACAGAAACCAGTTCACACTGAAACATACACGTGGACATACGCGCGAACACACACACATTCGCACATACACAAGGGCACAGACGCATACATTCGCAGACACACACCCAGATACACAAGCAGACAAACAACATACTCATAAAGGAGGAGGAAGAAGAAGAAGAAGAGGAGGAGGAAGAAGAAGAGGAGGATGAAGAAAAAGAAGAAGAGGAGGAGGAGGAGGAGGAGGAGGAAGAAGAAGAAGAAGAGGAGGGGAAAGAAGAAGAAGAGGAGGAGGAGGAAAAAGAAGAAGAGGAGGAGGAGGAAAAAGAAGAAGAGGAGGAGGAGGAAGAAAAAGAAGAAGAGGAGTAGGAAGAAGAAGAGGAGGAGGAGGAAGAAGAAGAGGAGGAGGAAGAGGAAGAAGAAAGAAGAGGAGGAGTAAGAAGGAAGAAGGAGGAAGAAGAAGAAGAACGAGGAAGAAGAAGAAGGAGGAAGAAGAAGAAGAAGGAAGAAGAAGAAGGAAGAAGAAAGAAGAGGAAGAAGAAGAAGAAAGAAGAAGAAGAAGAAAGAAGAGGAAAAAGAAGAGGAAAAAGAAGAAGAAGAAAGAAGAGGACGAAGAAAGAAGTGGAAGAAGAAGAAAGAAGAAGAAGAAAGATGAGGAAGAAGAAAAAGAAAGAAGAGGAAGAAAGAAGAGGAAGAAATAAGAAGAAGAAAGAAGGAGAAGAAAGAATGAGAAGAAAGAAGGAGAAGAAAGAAGAAGAAGAAAGAAGGCGAAGAATATAATAGTACATTTGAAATAAAGCGTCTTTTGCACACACACAAAAAAAAAAACGTGTTCATATGGTCAGAGCAGCCACTTAGCTCCCTGACAAATTTTGTGAGTACAGTGCTGATAGGTAGTCTTTGAAAACCTAGGACCCAGTGCGCCACTGGCGATAATGAGTTTATTACTTAGTTTTAAAACAGATCATCCTTCTTACAAGTGGATTAACTCAGTCCATAGATGCTCGGATCCCTATCTCAGTGTAGCTCACAGCGTGTAGCAGCCGACCACACCGGTTGTCTGTTTCCTTGACACCACCAAGTTCCAACGAAAAGGACTCTTGCATTTTGATGAGATCAATGGAGGCAGACTCACATACTGTCCCGACCAGCGACGAAATCGTCTAACGGCGAGCCAGTGAACGACCTGGTCGTCGATGATGTTGTGTCGCTAGACGTCGTATATTAACAGATAATGGGTCTCCGAGCTAGGAGACGCTCAGTTTCGCTGTATACCGTTTTTTTTTTTTTTTTTTGTGAAGTCTCTAAGGATGAGCGAAGCCTTCAATCCATCTTCTTCCTGATGTTTTCACTTGCATGGTCAATGATCTCGTAGCTGATATCATAGCCGGCCGGTCGAGGCAGGCTGGTTACGCAAAACTCTATGTGTGTAGTTACCTTCATAGTAGTCCTAAGGTATGCAGGTGTCGTTGGTAATGAAAGAGCTGATAGACTCGCAGGTGCTATATTATTTGAAGATGGTTGGCCTATGGATCACGCTGACATTGTCATTGCCCTTAGAAAGATAGGACGTTTTGAGGATTTTGAAAGCAACGTGTCAACATCACTGCTAAGAATACGAGAATTGGGAGTAAAGATCGGCAGAGCTAAGCGTGAGAAGCACACCGGACTCACATGAAGTTTTATCAATCAACATAGGACTGGTACTATTAAACGCGCGACGCTGATGAATATGTTAAAAAGGGAATCTGAGCGCCTATGGATGTGTTAGGAGTGATATGAAGATAATCTACCTCATAACTCATTGGATTTATTTTTATTAAATCTTCTCCCTAAAGTCTTTGTAGCGTGTCTATCCACAACCTACTATCTCGTGTAGTTGCAATCAATTCTGACACAGATGATTCTCCATGCCATGATGTCACACTGTCCAGCATCTGTTCTCTCGGTCTCTCTCTGCCTCTCCTTCCCTCACACTTTCCTACTGTCACGATGTACCCCAGTTTTCTCCTTCCTATTACATGACCAAAGAATGTAGATTTTCACTTTCTGATGTGGCCAATCAGTTCTCTTCTCTTTTTATCTGATCAGGGTATTCTCATCATTCGTCTATAAAAAACCTCATCTCCTCAGTAAATTAAGTTTAATTCAATGTCGGAACCATTTCAGTTTCGGTTTTTCCATTAATTTTATTATAGGCATTATTCAAATGGTTCTTGCACTTTCTTTTTCACGTGATCTTCTCTAAGTTTGTTCACAGCCTTTCTCAAACATCTCATTTCGCAAGTATTTAGTTTTCTTTCTTGTTTTTAAGTCAATGTCAAAGACTGACATTGATAGCACATCAATGATACACAGACTGCATTTATTCGTCTTCCTGTCTCTTTTGATAAGGCCGACTGTTTCAAAATATTTGTGTTACTTACTTAAAATATTGAAGAACAGTTTTGCTTGATTAGGCACAACTGTTAGCGTGTAGATTATGGTGTTGAGTGACTCGTCACTCGTTTTAATTGTGTATATGGTGGTGCCTATAAAAGTATTTTCTGGAACCTGGATTAGCTCTCCCATGTTGATAATTGATGGCGCAGTGTTCGAATCTGTGAGAGAAATATAAAATATATTAATCAATTACGATGTTTTGAAGCCACATTTCTGAAGGGTTAAGTTCAGCATCAGCAAGTCGACTGAGTGGTGTTAGACTTCTAATCGACTGGTGCTGCTGTTTCTCCTTCTTGCCATTATCATCGTCGTCGTCATCATCAACATTATCTTATTATTTTTATTCTCCTCCACCTCAGCCTACCTCTGCTTCTTCGTTCCGATACTTCTACTACTACTAATACTAATACTAATACTACTACTAATACTACTACTAATACTACTACTAATACTACTACTACTACTACTACTACTACTACTACTACTACTACTACTACTACTACTACTACTACTACTACTACTACTACTACTACTACTACTACTACTACTAATACCACCACCACCACCATAACTCTTGCTGCTACTGCTGCTGCTGCTACTGTTCCTACTGCTACTACTGTTGCTACTTCTACCACCACCACTACTACTACAACCACCAACGCCAATCACCACCACCGTTATTACTATAACTACAGCTGCTACTATTACTACTGCTGCTATTGTTGCAGCTGTTGCTGCTGCTGCTACTACTACTAATACCATTGCTACTAGTACTACTGCTGCTGCTGTTGCTATTACCACTCTACAGCTACACACTACTAATTGTTGAATTATATCACTGATCCTACTAATAACAAATTGAAAACAGTTTATTTCTTTCGTATATGTTATTTTTAAACATAAATTTTCCTTTTTTTTTAATTGATGCTCTTGTATCTTCGATCAGTTTTCCCAGACTTGTTGCACAGAACTGCGCGCTCAGTTTTCTAAACCACATTTTCACTTCACATTCAACTTCTGCGTCATTCGCGTAATGTCTCTCTCCAAGGTCGGTTTTCAGTGGAAGCTTTACAAGACAAAAATTTATCAGCATAAACAGGAAGCATTTCCTTATAAATGTCATTTACAGGCAACCCTTCCCCCCCCCCCTCCACCGCCCCTAAGAAAAAGCACAGCAGCACGTTTTCTTTGAGATTACACTCCGTAAGACAGTCGCCATTTTGTTTCTGTGTTGCGAATGCGCATGCAACACCTAGCGCCACCTAACGAGCGGAGACATACAGTTGGATGTTGCTGTCACCTAATGCCACCTTATAAACCCCCAACTACATGTTCCTGCTATTCCATAATCATTTATGTCCTTCTTATTGACTTCCCTTCGTATCCCTCACTTACCGTTGAGTGTGGTACTGATAACAAGGGGTCCGACGGGGCTGTTGATGTTGTCACTGACATAAACTTGGAAAGTCACAACCTGACTGCATTCCCGGGATAGTTCGTTGACTGCTCGTATAACTCCATTACCTGAAAAATACAACACTGTATAAATATTTTATAAGTAGAACTGAGAGAAAAGATCACGTCCCCCAAGACTGTCCCAGGTACAACATATCAAGGCAAAACTTATGACCAAGAGAAACACAGGTGAAAGCCAAACTTTACAGGTCGCAAATTTAATTACAAAAGACAGTGAAGTTTAAACAAGAGACACTGCAGATATAGATAATATATTTCAAGCGAACGAAAGAGAAAGACAAGTACATTTTTTTAAAAATGAACGGTCGTTACCAACACTACGCATACTTCATTTATCCCTCCATTAATTTAAAAAAAAAAAAAGACAAAAATATTGGCCACGTTCAATCTGCTAAGAGCAGTATAGGTTATAATTGTGGTTTGGTTTCTTTGTGCAAGTTATGTTGACTAAGAAATATTAATTGCATCAAAGCTTGTAGCTTGGACTCGTACCCTAGTTCTTAGTGTGGGTTACTGGGGAAAGGACTTGCCCGTACTATACACAACCACACTCGTGTATAGACATATATGTACAGTTACATATACAAACATAACATACAGGTTGAAAAGTCCTGTGAGATGCACGTTTACGTGTTTGCACATACACACCTTTACACGCAGTGAAATACCTAAACCCCATATAGTTGGCATCTGTAGACAATGAAATACCTAAACCCCATATAGTTGGCATCTGTAGACAATGAAATACCTAAACCCCATATAGTTGGCATCTGTAGACAATGAAATACCTAAACCCCATATAGTTGGCATCTGTAGACAATGAAATACCTAAACCCCATATAGTTGGCATCTGTTGACAATGAAATACCTAAAACCTATATAGTTGGCATTTGTTGACAATGAAATACCTAAACCCCATAGACTTGGCGTCTGTTGGCAATGAAATACCTAAACCCCATATAGTTGGCATCTTTTGACAATGAAATACCTAAACCCCGTAGACTTGGCGTCTGTTGGCAATGAAATACCTAAACCCTATATAGCTGGCATCTGTTGACAATGAAATACCTAAACCCCATATAGTTGACATCTTTTGACAATGAAAATCCTAAGCCCCGTAGAGTTGATCTATGTTGACAATGAGTTACCAAAACCCCACAGATTTTGGCCTTTGATTTCAACGAAATCCCTGAACACCATGGAATTGGCGACTGCGGACATTGAAATACCTAAACCTCATGAAGGAAACATTACTAGCCTAGGTCGAATTCCAGCCAGTGTGATTTGTGGGACTCCCCGTAGGTTAGCACTAGGCTTTGGTCTGCTGCGTTCAAATTCTCATCAATGCATTTACTTTCGAAACTAATCTAGGCTAATAAATCGACCTAGTCTTCTTCTTCTTATTCTTCTTCTTAGCGCTCACCAGCTGTAAACTCCATTTTACAGATCGGAATAAACCACCTCAGCTCTTTAATGATTGGGTTCAATCCCCAACCTACATTCTTTATTTTTAAGTTCAGATTTTCTTGTAGTGTCATATTTTCATAAACATAATACCTATGTCTACTGCAGTAAGACACAGAGCGCAAAGATATATCGGGCAAACTCTTAGACGAGATGAGCAAAGAATTACAAAAAAGCACTGAAATGGGAACCAAACGATCTGAAAAAAAGAGGACGTTCAAGGGAGACAGTAGGAAGAAAATTAATACGAGAAGCTAAAAACGCTGGGGCTAAACTCCATGTCAGCGAGTTTCATGCAATATAGCGGAGTAGAGAAATAGAACAGTAGACCTTTGTGACCTCTAATGGCACATGAAGGATGATGATGGTTTTGTCGTCACACTTTTCTAAGACATCTCCTTTCTGTTAGGATTTTTCGCTCATTAAATGTTGTAAGAATCCATATTTCACACAGGTAGCACAAAGTTGGTTAAAAATAATTTTCACATTTTCCACAGTCCTGGAGACAGAAATCTAGAAATAGTCATATTACTATTACTACTACTACTACTACAACAACTACTACTACTACTACTACTACTACTACTACTACTACTACTACTACTACTACTACTACTACTACTACTACTACTACTACTACTACTACTACTACTACTACTACTAATAATAATAATAATAATAATAATAATAATAATAATAATAATAATAATACTAATAATAATAATAATTTTTATTATTATTATTGTAACAATAACAACAACAACAACAATACCGATAAATTCTCATATGCTTTTTTGGCCAATCGTATGTCCTGTACCGGTTTTGCGTAATCAAACATGTACGGAGTTTGAGAGAGGACCAACTGCTCACTAATCCATTGCCCGTGACAACAGATCGTACTATGCTATAAGGATTGGCCCAAACATACTAAAACAAACCAAAGTGTTATAGATCATTTCCTAATTTAGGGATCTTACAATCTTAAAGCCATTAAAAAAAATCAAGTATTCTGCAGGATTCACTGTCAGCAAAACAAAGATACATACTGTCCCCAATCTGGAAATTGCCATTGTCCGGAGACACTGTCATAGTGTAATGGAGGTAGTCTCCGTCGGCGTCGCTGGCGTTGACTGAGTAAATGATGACTCCACTTTTGATATGCCGAGTGTTTGGCACAGTGTGGAATACTGATAATACAAGAATAGTCAGGCGTTGAAGATACAGAGACATACAAAATAAACATGAGTTGAGTTGGGCTATTTCAAGAACCGACATCACAGAACGCAGGGCATTCCCATACGCACTCCGTCACCGTCTTCAGCAGCCAGTTCCAATAGCAATGGTGCCATCGGTAGCCCGATTTTAAGTCCTTCCTGTCTTTGATCTGAGCTAGAGATACGGTGACACCCAAACAACAACACATTCAAGAGATATTAGATAACAGGAGAGACTGAGAACCCCTAGAAACAGTAGATAAGGTTACGCAAAGAATCATGAATTACGGGGCCTATTTAAGGCGGAATTAATGGGAGATATGGTAAAAAGTGCGAGACAGGGTAAATACTGAGAGACAGGGTACATAGTTAGAAAGTGAGAGACAGAGCAAATAGTGACCGGGTAAATGGCGCGAGACAGGGTAAAAAGCGAGAGAAAGAGTAAATAGTGAAATTCGGGGTATATACTGGGGGACAGGGTAAATAGTGAGAGACAGGGTAAGTAGTAAGAGACAGGGTAAGTAGTTAGAGACACTGTAAATAGTGGCAGACAGAGTTAACAGTGAGAGATGCGTAAATAGTGAGAGACAGGATAAATAGTACGAGACAGGGTAAATAGTGAGAGAGGGGGTAAATAGTGAGAGACAGGGTAAATAGTGAGAGAGGGGGTAAATAGTGAGAGACAGGATACATAGTGAGAGACAGGGTAAATAGTGAGAGACAGGGTAAATAGTGAGAGACAGGGTAAAAAGTGAGACATGGAAAATAGTGTAGGATTTTTCGTATCGTCGTTGTCGTTGTTCTTTGTTGTTATTGCCATCGTCGTTGTTGTCGCCATTCTTCTTTTTCTTCTTCTTTTTCTTCTTCTTCTTCTTCTTCTTCTTCTTCTTCTTCTTCTTCTTCTTCTTCTTCTTCTTCTTCTTCTTCTTCTTCTTCTTTTTCTCTTCTTCTTCTTCTTATTCTTATTCTTATTCTTCTTCTCCTCCTTCTTATTCTTTTCTCCTCCTCTCCCTTTATTTTCTTCTTTGCTTTACATTTCTCTTTTTTTCCCTTCTCTACCTCACCATCACATCTTTCTACGCACCCTCCAAATTTTATATTTCTTCTTCTTTCCTTTATCCTCGAATAAAGCATTGGACCTCTAACAATTCTCTCTAAATGGTCCTTTCCCATTACCATCTGTCACTGCCCACTCTATGGTAACCATGTCTTATGCAGCAGTGCCGTTGCACATTCTGGCTTTCGTAACTGACTGACTGCATCAAAAGCGAGTTTCAATTCTGCCGGCAAACTCCTAATGCTGGCACACTTCACGGATGTCTTATGTGTTTATTTTGCATGTGCGAGCTTCACAGTTTAGCCATGGCTGAGATGGATCGATCAATCGGTTTGTTCCACCAGACTGCTACTTCAAGCTGTAACATATTGTTGATTTTCAACACGATATATCTCGTATCTTGGTTGTACACTCTCAGACTGCTTTTTGTGCATCTCTTTAAGTTGTCCTTTTACTTGTGTCGTTGTCTACCTCTTGCTGTGGTGTCCCCGACCTTTTCCTTTTTATGGTTGTTAAGAGCATGATATGTCTTTTGATGTGGTTAAAATATTTCAGTTGTCTCCCTTTTTTTTTTTTTTTTAAATTTCTTTCTATAATTCTTTCTTCATTCGAACTCTTTCCAGAACCTCTTTCCTTGACTGATTTTTCCCCATGAAATACGACCTATTCTTCTGTATATCCACATTTCCAGAGACTTCGTTCCATTTTGTTGTTGCCTGTTCACGGTCCAAGTTTTTGCATCATACATCAGAGGTTGAGTGTACATAACATTTGACGATTCTCATTTGTAATATGTTGTTTATCTCTCTCGTTAGTGTCTGTGGCTTGTGCATTGCGAACGCGCTTCGTAATGCAGGATCGCCGGGTTTGATCCTAGCTGCAACGGTACGTTCGTTTCGACTGTGGTACCGAGAGCTGACCGTTCAGTTGGAAATGGCAAACAAAAAATTTGCCTAAAAAAAACCACAACAGCCAAACAATCCTGGGGTTGATTCTGCAACGTCTTGTGAAAAATACGCAAATAAAATTACATTTTAAATGTGTCTGTCTGTCTGTATGTCTCTCTCTCTCTCTCTCTCTCTCTCTCTCTCTCTCTCTCTCTCTCTCTCTCTCTCTCTCTCTCTCTCTCTCTCTCTCTCTCTCTCTCTCTCTCTCTCTCTCTCTCTCTCTTTCTCTCGATGTCAGTAAAATTCACATTTTCTTGAAGATTGCTATTCATATTCTCTTACTGATTTGTTTCACATGTGCCATTATTTGTTGTTATGTGTCAAAGATAGGAGTAGTTTGTCAATTAATTATTTAATCAGACGGTGGAATAATTATTTGCAAAAAAATACTTACCAAGAAGCCCCGTGTAATTAAACACTGGTGGAGAGTTGGTGGTCAGTCTCACTTCTAGCAGTCGAGATATTGTGTAGCCGTCAGCGTTCTCGCATGTAATGTTCAGTGTGTACACGGGATCTCGGCCAACGTCCAAGGTTCCAATTTTTGGTATGTACTTGAGGTGCCACTCTGTGGATTGATTGTGTTCAGCTTTAGGAATGTCTGCTTTCTGTGGCTCATATGTCTTTATTTATGTGTAAGTTTACGTTTTCTCTCTCACTCTCTCACCTTCCCCTCTGTCTCTTGGTGTGTTGACATGTCTGTCAAGCATTGATATGACTCTCTGCTGTGTTTCTTTGTACTGATATCGTTGCTTGTCTGTCTGTCTATAGACCTCTTGTACATTGATCTGTCCATTTGTTAGTCTGTATGTTCGCCTGAGTCTGTGCTGGCTATACGCTGATCTGTTTGTCTGTCTGTGGGTAAGCATGTCATACATTGCTCTGAGTGTCAGCATATTGGAATATATGTTGATAATGCTTTGATCTCTCTGTCTGCTTGACTGGCTGTTTGCAGGTTACTTTACTGATCTTGTTGTCTGTCTGTCGGTAGGTCTGTTATACCTTGAAATGTGTCCATTGCCTACGTGTTGCCTTCCACACACACACACACACACACACACACACACACACACACACACACACACACACACAAAATGCATCTTGCCTCTGTATATTCTCTATGTTTTTTCATCTAGTTTGTTACAATTATTCGCACGTTTTAGTTTGGGAGCTGCCGGGTACAGCGGTGAGACGCCTCCCTGCGGATCTGAAGGTCGCAGGTTCAGATCTTGACGGAAACGGACTATTTTCAAAACGATTTTGGCTTCAAGGTCGCCCCAGCCTTAAATGGGTACCTGTGAAGTCCTGTGAAGTAAAGGCGGTCGGTGAGATGTTGACCCCATCATATGATTGATATATGAAATAAAGGTCTAACCCCATATGCCCAATACGCCTGAAGCAGTAGAATGTTAGCTTATGTCCGGTTAACTGATATGTTAATATGTCTGATATATTGAATAATAATAACTTGTTTGTATGTTTAGTTAATGGAGCTTTCATTGTGGGTGGTAACTTGCCTGTTATTAGGACTGGTAAACTTTCCTGTTGTTAAGACTGGTAAACTTTCCTGTTGTTAAGACTGGTAAACTTATCTGTTGTTAAGACTGGTAAACTTTCCTGTTGTTAAGACTGGTCAACTTTCCTGTTGTTAAGACTGGTAAACTTATCTGTTGTTAAGACTGGTAAACTTTCCTGTTGTTAAGACTGGTAAACTTATCTGTTTTTAAGACTGGTTAACTGACCTGTTATTAAGATTGGTAAACTTTCCTGTTGTTAAGACTGGTAAACTTATCTGTTGTTAAGACTGGTAAACTTTCCTGTTGTTAAGACTGGTAAACTTTCCTGTTGTTAAGACAGGTCAACTTTCCTGTTGTTAAGACTGGTAAACTTATCTGTTGTTAAGACTGGTAAACTTTCCTGTTGTTAAGACTGGTAAACTTATCTGTTTTTAAGACTGGTTAACTGACCTGTTATTAAGATTGGTAAACTTTCCTGTTGTTAAGACTGGTAAACTTATCTGTTGTTAAGACTGGTAAACTTTCCTGTTGTTAAGACTGGTAAACTTTCCTGTTGTTAAGACAGGTCAACTTTCCTGTTGTTAAGACTGGTAAACTTATCTGTTGTTAAGACTGGTAAACTTTCCTGTTGTTAAGACTGGTAAACTTATCTGTTTTTAAGACTGGTTAACTGACCTGTTATTAAGATTGGTAAACTTTCCTGTTGTTAAGACTGGTAAACTTATCTGTTGTTAAGACTGGTAAACTTTCCTGTTGTTAAGACTGGTAAACTTTCCTGTTGTTAAGACTGGTAAACTTATCTGTTGTTAAGACTGGTAAACTTTCCTGTTGTTAAGACTGGTAAACTTATCTGTTGTTAAGACTGGTTAACTGACCTGTTATTAAGACTGGTAAACTTTTCTGTTGTTAAGACTGGTTAATTGACCCGTTATTACGGCTGGTAAACTTTTCTGTTGTTAAGACTGGTTAACTGACCTATTATTATGTAGATTTGACTGACCGGTTAAACTGACCTCTTTTTGCGTCTGGTTAACTCGTCTGTCATTTAATATAATGAATTGACCTGTTATTTTGTTTAACTGAACTGTTATTATGTCATAGAAACCTAATTATTATTGGACCTGTCATTCTGCCTGGTAAGCTGGTCTGTTATTAAGTCTAGTTAGTTGACCTGTTGTACAATCTGGGTAATGATCCTTAGTCCTGTCTATTTAACTGGTCTGTTAATGTAAAAAAAAAAAAAAGGAAAGATCCCTTATCACGACTTAGGCGCATCGGGTATATGGGAAGAGCGTCCCATATTTTTACAGACCAATCGGCACTGGATGGGTAATGTGGTCAGCATTACGCAGGCCGTCTTTACTTCCCCATGACAGCCATCCCGTACCCATTATATTTTGGGTCGGGTCTGTTATTGTACCAGTTATTAAGCCTTGTTAACTTCTTAAAGTCTATGCCATGTGGCGTTGGTAGTCATGTCTATCCACAACCTTCAGCCTCGTGTAGTTTCAATCAACTCTGACACAGATGATCCTCCATGCCATAATGTCAAACTGTGCAGCATCTTTTCTCTTTGTCTACCTCTGCCTCTCTTCCTCTCCAACTTTCCTACTGTCACGATGTACTCCAGTTTTCTCCTTCTCATCACATGACCAACGAATGTAGATTGTCTCTTTCTGTTGTGGGCAATCAGTTCTCTTTGTGAGTCAGTTTCTTTCAAGACATTTGCATTACTCCTTTTATTTGTCCAGGATATTCTCATCATTCGTTTGTAGAATCACATCTCTGCAGCTTCCAAATAATAAATAACTAATCTGGCAATGGTTCATGAGCTACCTCTGTATGTCACGATAGGATTTATATAACCTTTCAGAATTCCATTTCTCATCCCAGTTGACAAAGTAGGACTCCATAAAATATTCTTTATTTTGTAAAATGCCGTCCAGTTAAATAGTCGTTGTAATGTATTTTTTTTTCTTTACCTGTTATTATGCCTTGTTGGCTGACCTGTTAAACTAACCTGTCAGAAAAGGCAAAATCTGGAAACACCGGACACAGCTGCCTGTTCTCGGCTCCACAGAGGCTAAATTGACTTTCACCTGGCTTGGACCACCAGAGTTATTCACGCAAACGATGGTATCCAGAACTTTGTTCTAGAAGATAAATGAAAAATGTGTATGAAAATTCACTCATGCAAAATGAATAAGTAAAATAATTCAAAGATCTTTGTCAGGCCATGAGCATTTTGATCTATCAGGCATTTGGTGCGATACATTCATAATTATCAATCAGCAAGCCCTTTACAGAACGTCGCTCTCTTCACGGCAGATCTGAAAGTCTTCCTTTCTCAAGCCTATTCTCCAGCACTGTGTGGTTTCGTAACCAATGCATCGTCGCAGCAGGGCCATTGGGTCAGCCTGGAAAGCGCATTGCCAAGAGTACTCACATGGGGTGAGATCTGGCGAATGACCCCGCTGCGACTGAGCTTTATCGTTCGTTCGGCGTACGATGTATTACCGTCCGGTGTTAACATGGTTAAATGGTCTGCGACCAACGATCCGACTTGCCCGTTGTGCAAAGCGGAGCAGACTCTTGAGCACGTCCTGTCCGCGTGCAGAAATGCCCTAGGTCAAGGCCGATATACCTGGCGTCACAACAAGGTGCTAAAAGAGTTAGCAGCCGTTGTTGACCAGGCTAGAATGAGGGCTAACGCTAGAGCCAGTTCTACCATCGTCCCCATTCGTTTCCTCAAGGCTGGGCAGATTCAAAAAGGTAAGGTCAACCGAAACGCATTCGCTCCATCTGTGCTAGACTCTGCGAGGGACTGGTTACTGGCGGTTGATCTGCCGGGCCATGAGAGGTACATATTGTGACTTAGCAGCCGGTCTGAGGAGAAACGAGGCGTACACAGTACGGGTCTTTGCCGTCGAAGTGGGAGCGAGAGGCCTCGTTTCCACTTCGCTCTACAATGTGGTTAAAGAACTAGGATTGCGCGGTAATGAACGGAAACGAACACTTAAAAAACTGGGCGAGGCAGCCGAAAGAGCCTCGAGCTGGCTTTGGACGCAGCGAAACAACGTAGGGGACGGGCCTCAGTGAGCTGGTCCGGGTTTTCTAGCGGAAAAAGAGTTTTTCATCCCTTGAAAGTCCATCGTGTCCGAATTGTCTGCCAGTGATACTCTGCCACCTGCTAACAAAAGTCCAACATGTGTCCGGTAAACCAAAGTAAGCTTGTCGCTCGGTCGTCCAGGTACGCTGACTGTTCTAGTTAGGCCGCCGCGGCGATTTCTTATCTCACAGTACCTTCTGCAAATCAACAAGTCGTTTTGTCCCTATCCGAAAGAAAAACACCATCCGGTAATCTCGTGCAGCAGCGTACCAGCCCTGAGCTTCATGAACTCAGGTGGGCCCACCCCCGAAAGTGTCTAGGAGAATCGTGGGCCGAAACACTTGTCGACGAGGATAACTTTTACTGATGACTGGTAGATCCCTGCTGTACTTGCTCCCTGTGAGTTTATTCCTATTAAAATGTGTTTCCTTGTTTCTCTGCCACTTCTAAAACCTTCTTGTGCTTCCTGTAATTCATATTCTTGTTACTCTTAGATTTTTTTTTCAGGACGAAATGCAGAAAAATGGTGCCGGAATGGCTGATTAGAGCTATATTATGATAACAGGAACATAATTTGAAATATCCTATTTTTTGGGAGAAGGAATGTAGAAAAAATATATATTTATATTAAAAATACCAACAATAGAACATGTAGATGGCATGCTAGAAAATAAACCAATAAAAGTAACCGATCATTTCACTTTTTTGGGAAGCAACTTTGACTCTAGAGAAGTTACAAAAAGGAAATTCCGATACGCGTTGACAAAGCAAAAACAGTATTTGAAAACCTCAAAAAAAATTAAGCACCGAGTTATACATCTTTGAGACCAAACTATGATTCTTCAATTCTAATGTTATGTCAATTCTAGCGTATGCTAACGAAAGTTTGAAAAACTACCAAGTTAAATGCATTTGACAAAAAAAAAATTCTTTAAAAAAATCATAAACATACAATGGAATGTATTTAAGAGGAAATAGGAAGATCAGAGAAATGTCTGGACAAATACCCGTATTGACTGCAATAAGACAAGAAGGTGGAGATGTATTGAGCACACTTTGAGATTAAGTGAGCAAACAATTACAAAACAAGAACTAGAATGAGAAACAGACGGTCTAAGGAAAAGTGGGCGTCTAATGGAAACAGTATGAAGAACATTATTACGAAAAGCTAAAAATTTTGGGCTAAACTCCATGTCAGAAATCGAGAGAGCTGCATGCAATAGAGCGGAGTTGAGGATTATAATGCGAGCCTTATGTGACGGATGATGCTGATGATAAATGTAGACTTTTCTTTTACTAGCTTTAAGCCAGTCAGCACTATTGCAGATGTTGACACACAGTGCATGAAAACACACACACACACACACACACACATATGTATATATATATATATATATATATATATATATATATATATATATATATATATATATATATACATACATATATATATACATACATACACATAGACAACACTTCTCGCCCCTTCCCCTCCATCGTTTCCCACTTAAATTAACTCTGCTAGTCTGTCCTCATATCCTGGAGATTTTTGTCCAGACCCCCTACTACTCCTACTTCCTCTAACAAAGGATTAGGTTCTTTCTCTTCAACTTCATCCTAAATATCTGACGTACTTATTGAAACTTTGTACATTTTCCCTTAGTACTCCTTCCACCTCTACAATATTTCCTTACTCTCGTCAAGGTATTTCCGTCTTCCTCATTAATTACATTCAATGATTGTTTCAAATTATTTCCTAATATTCTGATCTATTTTAACATTTCTCTGACCCTACCCTGTTACTAGAGATTATTGTTCTTCTTCACCATCGCTTCTTCCCGTTCACCGGCTGTAAACTCCGGCGGAAAGTTCTCGTTGTTCATCTACTTCTGGACTCCAGTCCTGTTCTAGCACCTGAGTGTTGTGTAAACATCCGTTTTACAGATCTTATTCATTTGTATGCCGCTGCTGGATCCTCGCCTCTCAAACAGATGCACTCCGACTTCAAAGGAATTTGCTGGAGATGCGCTACAGTGTTGCATAACCTCCTGATTGCTTGTAGATTAAATGTGTCGTGAATTGAGTTCGTCTTAAATGTGTGACACCAACATGAAAAACTGAGAAAACTTAAGGTATCTTGGAGACCCCTGAGGGTCGTTGCTGAAGCTACAGGGTTCAAGCTTTGTGGAACATTCTCACTGACGGCTAGATGCTCCTTGGACAGAGATTGAGCACTTTCGAAAAAAACTCGGCAAAACGAAATGGATCTTTTCCCTCTTTAAACTTGCTTTTAACTGTTTTCTAAAGCTGTCTTGATTGCGACATTTTTCGAAGCAGCGAGTCAGCAGATCTGAGGCACAAATAGACCATCACAGTCAGAGGAGAATGTTGCTGCAAGGAGTTAGCAGACGATCTGGCCGCCGCTTAACACTCATAGAAAACGCGAGACGGATGCAGAGTCAGACTGTTACTGGTGTCACTGGGATTGGAACTCTGCGTTTGCTGCTAAAAATGGAGACGGAGCGCTTATGTCAGGAATTCTATGATGTAGATTCTTTATTCAACGTTTAACATTCTCAGAGAATTGTCATATTTATTCAAATTAAACGATTAATAAAAGTTAAGAACCATTTAACGCTGCTGACACATGGGAATGGCGGCAGCAATGACCAGGAGAGATTAAACCAGACATGAGGTCACAAGAAAGAAAGTTGGCACAGAACCAGTTCTAAATTACATACAAAGGCAGCACATCAATTGGATTGCCACTTAGAGCCATTCTATACAAAGCATACACTAAACGAGGAAAAAAAGACGTAGATCATGAGGTAGACCGAGACCAATATGGAAAGCTCACAGAGACTCTATAACAGCATAATATGTCTATAGACGAGGCGGCGAAGCAAGAAGCCGAATATTAGACCTCTCTCGACACCCTAAGCGGTAACATAGGAAGTGAACAAGAATCAGAAGAGGACACAGTATTTTCGAATCGTATTTTCAGACACCATTCGTGTAATGATATGGTCAATAACATACCAACTGCCTTTACTTCTGAAAATATTTGTCTGTAAATTGCCTTTTAGGAAAGGCTACTACCCTGAATGGCCAAAGTTATATTCTCCTATTTCTTCTGCTTTAGCCTATAAAATGGCTGGCACGTGGTATTGAAGTTTAGAGCAAGGCTACGATATCTTCTCCTTTCGGTCCAACGCATCCAATTTGCGCAAACCTGTAATCAATCGAAAATATTTGTCTGTAAATTGCCTTTTAGGAAAGGCTACTACCCTGAATGGCCAAAGTTATATTCTCCTATTTCTTCTGCTTTAGCTTATAAAATGGCTGGCACGTGGTATTGAAGTTTAGAGCAAGGCTACGATATCTTCTCCTTTCGGTCCAACGCATCCAATTTGCGCAAACCTGTAATCAATCGAAAATATTTGTCTGTAAATTTCTTTTTAGGAAAGGCTACTACCCTGAATGGCCAAAGTTATATTCTCCTATTTCTTCTGCTTTAACCTTTAAAATGGCTGGCACGTTGTATTGAAGTTTAGAGCAAGGCTGCGATATCTTCTCCTTTCGGTCCAACGCATCCGATTTCCGCAGACCTGTAATCAATCGTCTTTTATGACTCGCTTTTTAGGAAGCGGTCAGTCAGTCAGTCAGTAACTGTCATTTGCAGAACCTTGCTCCCATAACAACCTTCCGAAAAACTACTCGATCACAAGCAATGTTCCGCGTCCGATATACTCATATCTCCCGATCAACCGCCACATCCTGCAACCATCTACTATTTGGCCTTCCTCTTCCTCCCTTACCAGGCATTTACCTCTCCATTATTTTTCTCTCTAAACTTTTGTGACGTTTCAGGTGACCAAAATATTTTAATTGTCTGTGTTTTATCGTCTTTAAAAGCCAAACTTCTTAAATATCCAGTTCTTGAAGTGTGGATGCATTTCTTGTCTTCTTTACCCATGACATTCTTAGAACTGGTCTATATTTGTATTCAAAGACATTTATGCGATGTTCAGCTTCTTTAGCAAG